CTGGTCATAACTGGTACAAAGCCGGAGAGAGGATACGTACGACGTCGGCGAGGAGCGTATATCCGTGGAGTGCTGTGGAGAGACGCGCGCGAGTTGCGGACGAGCTTGAGTGGACGTGGGAAGGCGATGGCGGTAGCGTTTTGTACGTCGTGGTCTTCAGGGAAGGCGAGGAAAATATGCGATTTGTTATGATATACCGTGAGAGTTTTTACTTTATATTATTTGATCCTCGTACTTTAGAACATTTACTCTCGAAAATAGTCGATAGTGTATGTCAGTTTTTCTCTAAGTGTACTGGTGCGCTAGCGATTTATCAATATACTTACTTATGCGTACACGTGTACCTAAAAGAATGTCGTTGGACTCAAATTAAAAAGGATCCACTGATTCAAATTTCACGTTCTGATGACGCGAGCGGTATATTTTGAACTGTATAGCAACATGTATCCGCTGATCCTAGTTTGTCCTAGATAGGCATAAATGTTCCACTTCATTTTTATTTTGTAGTTCTGTAACGCTACTCGATATCAAGTTCAGTAGAATTACCTGTAATCCTCATCAGAACGACTGTCGTTATGTGCTCGACATGCTCTTGATGGTTCACCTGTCTTGTACTGTCTCTTAGATTGTTGAGACTTCTTAGGTCGACTAAGATTCGAACTTTGCTCGAAGGACATGGGATGGGTTGTGTCTGTCGCAACTCATAACCAACTGAGTAACGACATCTCACACTGACAGACTCCCTTCGGACCGCTCCGCGCATCTACGGACGGTCTGAGTTGTGAAGACAGTGAAGCATATATATGCTGACGATCAGCGTCCATAACGATATAGGTCGAGGTGAGAAATAACAGCTGGAGTTGCCCATAAAAAGCCTAAATACGGTATTAATATACGATGATATACAGAGAGAAACTAGCAGTTATCACGTATAATTAAAAAAAAAAAAAAAAACATTAAAAATATCGATTTATGATAGAGAGTTACTTTATATAGTCGTATAAACAGAAAATAGAGGGGACAGGCTCGTCTTGCAGCAGAGCTAAGCAGTCCTGTGCAGCTCCCACGTGTTACAGTTTAGGAGGCATGTACGTGGCCGAGAATTGACCCAAGCCGCAGTCGTCAGTTCCGCAGGTGTCTGTCTCTGGATCAATTGAGATACACCATGACATATAGGACGTGCGCATATTAAGATACCGGCTATATGTGGACTTGTAGTGTCTCGACATTCCTGAGAAATAGTCATTCTCGGTTGATGATGACTACTGTGCGAATTGTAGTGCGTCTCCTCTCCATGAAGAATTCAAATATGCCTATCCTAACATTGAGGTCGACTCTTGTGGAATGTGTAGTCGTGCGCTCTCCTGGAAATTTTCTATCACTGTGCTGTTAGTACTATGATGTGGACCTTGTAGTCGCTACTCTCCCTGAGAAGTACTACCGACTCCTTGTGATGACGGCTACGCAATGTAACTGACTTCTAGCCGGCATCTCACATGAGAAATTTCAGCACTGACGGTGTGATATATGACGCTATATGTTGACTAGCAGTAAGCGGTCGTCTCTCCTGAGAAAGTTCATCCTTAGATGTACGACTCACATGTACGGTACTTGTAGAGGACGTCTCTTCTGAGTACATTTTACAGCACCTAAATATAATGGACTATACTGCACTTGTAGTTGTCTCTCTGAGAACATTATCATCTCTGGTGTGTATCACTTACTACTGGTCAAAGTCGTCCTCTCCTGAGAAATTTCTATCGTCTGTATGTATGACTATATGTAGGACTCGTGTCGTCTCTCCCTGAGAAATTTCATCTATGTGGATTATAGACTATATGTCATGGAGCTTTAGTCGTCCTACTCCTGAGAATAGTACATGCTACGGTTGATGTATAGACTATACTGTGGACATTGTAGCTCGTACCGCTCCTGAGAATTGTGATCTGGCGGATGTATGACTACATAGTGGACTTGTGAGTCGTCCTCTCCTAGACATTCATCTCTGCAGTGTATGATCTCATCACGTGCAACTTGCAGTCGTCCTACTCCTGAGAAACTCATCAT